CCGTACCAATTTACTTCTATGCTTTTTTTCTTGCAAAATGCAAAACTGATCATAATCGTTACTACCTATAAATTAGTGGAAGAGGTCAAAACCGATACGTAAATGATTTTAATATTGCAATTTTTGGCCCTCTCCGTGGAGAAGGTTTTTCAGCAGTTTCTTTGCGTTACAGCAGCAGTGAGTTCCTTTCGACCCAAAATAGAGCGCGTTAATCTGGCATTATTTTTGTTAAGATTAGGCAGGCTTCGACCCATGTCCCCCGCAAAGAGTTAAGGGCGTGTGGTTATAGCTGATGTTAACATAAATCTGCACGAATACGCACAGTGCAGAATCTTAAGAAATACAAGTTAAAGTGGGTTTCTTTTATTTTTTGCCTAAAGGTTCATGGGCCCAATAGTAGCTTTATAAGAGGAATTTTCTCATTCTCATTAGCTCGCTACCGAATTACTCGTTGGCAGTTGGTGGACGAGAATCTGCTTCTTTGAGAACTGTTATGTCTCTTTAATATTTATTTTTCTTCCCTGTTGGATTTAACAGCACTGACGCAAAACGCAGCTGAAAAATAACGAGATAAAAAATTTAACCAAGCCACAGTACAGTCGGTAGTAGAAGTTCGAAGTTTAGAATCCGTTTGGCAAAATTCTATAGTATGAAGGGCACTTTAAATCCCTTTCCTGCGGCTTAGGGTTTGAAAACTGAATTTCTTAATGTAGGGACTTGAGTCGCTGTGATTTGCCGGAATGATTAGATCAATCTTTAGGCTCACAAGGATACGCTTAATAAGAATAAAACACTACTGAGGACGTGTTCTTTTATTTCTTTTTACTTCGACTTCATAGGTGTAATTATAAATGTTTTAAAAATTCTTAACAACAATGGGCTTGTATTTTTTTGCTTAGTAGTACTGATGGCAATTGTGTTCTTCACTGTACTTCTTTTCTGAATTTGGGACAGAAGTAAATATAACTCTACAATAAACGGATGAGGAACAGCAAAAGGTGCACTCGTAATTTCATTCCTCAAGCTTTTTGAAATTAATCTATTAGTGATCTGTTGTTCCCTTTAAAATCAAAGTGCCTGTATACTGCTGGAAATAATCTTCCGCAGAGTTCTTGATATTAAAAAGCGGAGTCAAATGTCAATGTTTTCTGACCATGTGTTTCAAAAAGTATGACTGTGGGTCCAGAAAACTGATTAACTAATACTGCAAAACCTGACAAATCTTACTCATTTCGGTTATAGCTCTGTGTCAAATGAATACAAGCAGGTTATTAACACTGGGCTCAGAGCAGTTTACCGGACAAAAACTAGCCTTTTTAAACCAAGCGGAAGTATAAAACGAAGTGAAAAGCGAGGACCTTGAAATATTGCCAAATTGGCACCAAGATCAAAATTGTGGTATTTGCTTGGATTCACGATCTGACGCTACATGTATATAATCATTTACAAACTTAGAGTACTTTTCACGTCACTGATAAATCCTCGTCACGTATTATAATGTCAATCAATTATGCAGACGCTCTTTCCCCTTACGAAAACAAAGGCAAACTTGGTTTACCAGAGGTGGGTTTAATATCACTGTTTTTCCAGTCGGTTGCCTTTTTTTTATTTTTTATTTTTTTTTTTTTGATACTACGAGCTACCTTATACTTCAAAGCGTGTCTATCCTAAAACTTGATTTTTTTTCACCGACAGCTTGCTTGTGTTTTTTTGTATACAGAGTTGGTGACCTCATTCTACTCATGTGTAGCAACTTTAGGTCTGCTCATTTATTTCTTGACAGCCTTCTAGTGCTTAATTGCAATTTCAATTCTTATGTAGTTTTGGAGGGACTCTCGAGTGATGTGTGATGTGCGGGTAGTCATTTCATTTTTTGACCGTGTGGCATTGAGATTGACCCATCTAATCCGCTTGCTAGTATTTCTTTGTTTTAACAACATCTACTTTGGCCATTTCCATAGTGGATGTTTTTTAGGAACAGTCTAATAGAAGTTTTAGCATAGTGGTTCCGAGGTCTAAGCTCAAAGGTAAATCAAAACAAATAAAGATTTCTTTGCGGGGCAAAAGAAAAAATCTGGAATACTTTAGAAAGTAGCTAATCTTATTGCGAGAGTTAATATACGCACTTGTTCCTTCTCCGTTTTAGACCTATAAATTTTGCAGCGCAACGTGAACCTGCTGGAAAAGTGATTGACACTGATTTATGAATTCTTATATTTCCATTTTTGTGTTGCTAAGTGTGTTTTAAAGTATTTCGGCCAACAAACCTTAACTTTCCTTTATTCTCCTAAAACAATGTTTCCTAACTGGGATAACAAAGGCTTCACTTGGTTCTCACAAAATCGTTATGGTGAGTCTCATAACTCGATAATAAAAAAAAAATGAGGTTAGGGAAAAGCTGAAGCAAGCACTTACTCTAGTTATGCGGTGAAGAGAATAACACTTATTTGCATTCTTCTCGAAACTGTATCTGAAACAGGCAGTAATGGGTCGAAAGTAAGCGCAGGTGAACTGTTGGAAACGATAAGAGATGTAGTGTTGTGAAGTGCAATGGCGAAATTTTGATTTTAACGGTCAGAGCCTGATAGAAGTTGAGAAAAACTGCTTCTCATCACTTATATTTTATTATATATTAGTTGTTGAGGGTGGGGGAAGAAGTAAAAATTTTAGAAAGTAGATGTCAAGATAGATGTCAAGAATTGCTTATTGGGTAGTCGAGTTATGCGCAGGATCTGTTCTAGTCTTCGTACATAATTGTTCTCTGCATTATACACTGCTGAAATCGGTTGAGTGATTTCTTCCTTATCTGCGATTGAATTTTGTTTTTCCGGTTTGAAAGCAAATGATTTGTTTCAAAGTTAACTTAGCTTGAAATTTTCAGCAGGATAATCTTGTTTTTCGACAGCATTTATCACCAAAATATGTTCGTCAATTTTTGCACTCTACTCGACTGTAACTGCTATGTAGATATTGACCTCTGAGATGTTGACAAGTATATTTTCATAAACATGTATTGTGTGGGTTTCTGCTATTCATTTGTTTTTACTGAGACTGCTTATTAGAGCTGCCAGGATTTTTTGTTTGGTGTTTTTAGACAATATGGAGTTTAGAATGGCAATTTGAATATATTTTGAAAACTTGGTGTCTTTTAATGTCTATTCGTATCTGTTCATCTCTGGCAAGGGTTGGGATGAGACAAAAGCTGAATTAGAAGTGTCTTGACTAATACAAAATAACTCATTGGGTAGGGTGTGAGTTACATGGCAGGTTCTTTTTCTGTTTTACAAATGTTATTTAGTTGATTATGCTAAATGGGTTTGTTGGCTGATACATAGTATAGTGAGGACTTTTTTTCAGTTGTTTATTAGTAGAGTTTCGATCATTTAACCTTCTGATTGATCTCTGAACAGCAGAATTCGGTCACCTCGTAATTTCACTTAGTTTTAGGTATATGATGACGAAGGAACGTTGATAGCAAAAGTGAAGTTACTTGCTGACTGGCTCCGAAAAAGTAGATGTTGCGTTGTGCACACTGGAGCTGGAATAAGTACTGCAGCAGGAATTGCAGATTTTAGAGGCCCAAGAGGTGTTTGGACGTTAGAGAAGCAAAACTTGTCTGCGGAGAGCATAGACTTTAATCTTGCAGAACCTACATTTTCTCATAGAGCTCTAAACGCTTTAGAGGCAGAAAATATTGTCAAGTATATTATTTTGCTCATTTAAGATCAACTTTCTTTTCATTACTGAGGATAATTTTAAAATATTTTAACTATCTTTGAAATTAAAAGAAGGGTAGTAGGGTAATCATAATACTTGCATATGGAAACCAAGTTTCAACAAGACTTTCTCATTACTGGTTTTTCCATGGCTACCTTACAACTTTTTTCTCGCCGTCGTTTCGACAAGCTAATGAGTCATACATGAAGTCTTGATTAATGGTTTTTTATCATTAAAATGTGTTTCTGCTGTTCTTATCGAAATGGAAGAGTGCTTTTCAGTTTACCGCATTAACAGCAGTGAAATTTTCAGTTTATTTAAAGGTTACGTGCCTAAATATTTTTTAAGCTACGTTGACAAAAGAAAGTTGCTAGGCTTTTTAAGTATGGACATTTTTTTGGAAGGTAGCTGACTTTAACGGAAGGTGTAAACTTCTGAATAAATAGTAGTTTAGAACTTCACTAAAGACCTTAAAAACCTATCAATACTGTAGGTTTGTTGTGACACAGAATGTAGATAGTTTGCATGTCAAGGCTGGCTTCCCGTTAAATCGTTTAGCAGAACTTCACGGAAATGTTTTCGCAGAACGATGTGAAAAGTGCAGGAGGTTTGTCCTTCCATCTACACTATAGAGTTTTTTTGAAGGCATAAAAAATATTGGACTCTTGCTACTTTATGCTCTGTCAATGAGATGTCATATTTAGCGATTCTTTTATACATTCCTCCATATGTATACTAATCCTTTTTGAGCTTTTTTACATTGTTTTGTATCAAAACATTATTGTGTTTTTTGGGAATCTCTGTCCTACTTTTTAAAGTTATTACGAGGAAAAAAGTTGCTGACTTTTGTAGATCCGAATTTTTTTTGGAAGGCAGCTTGTCCTGACGTGAGCTGTAGAGTTTCGAAATATTTATTACTTTAGAGGCCCTCGCAGAATCTATATTAGTATTGTGGGTTTAATGTGACTCAAAAGTTTTCGGGAGCTTTACCAAACTTTTTAAACTTGATTTATTGCCTTAAATTTTTTATCTAGAAAGTATTATCGGGATACTGTAGTGGGAAGCGTTGGCCTGAAAAAAACCGGTCGAAAATGTGAGGGCAACAAAAATAGGCCTTGTCGAGGAGAATTACGGGATGAGTTACTTAACTGGGAGGATGAACTGCCTGAAGAAGAACTTAAAATGGCTAAGCAGTTTTCCCAGTAAGTCTTATAAATTTTTGATTATAGTATCGCGAGTGCCACTAATCTTGAAAACGATTCGATTTTGCATTAAAGAAGTAAAATAGTTGTTTTGGACATCAGATTTGCCTCAATTGTTTAACATTGTTTAGGGCAGCAGATCTCAGTATTTGTTTGGGTACGACGTTACAAATTGTTCCGGCAGGTAATCTGCCTCTATACGCCAAGAAGAACGGTGGTAAATTTGTAACAGTCAATTTACAAGAAACGAAGCATGTATGTTTCTTTCCTCAACTCGAGTCATTTTTATTCTTGTTTTGATTTTTTACTGATTTTTTCGAAGGCCAATTCAGCAAATGACTGAAGTAAAAATTTAAGAATTAAATTTGAGATAAATTCACCGTACAGGTGCATGACTGGGATCATTGTTTTGCAAAGGTCAAAATGGTTGAAAATCAAGAAAATTTTTTGGTTTATTCCTAGAGGGATCAAATGTATTATTTTCCAACTGGTTTTGGAAGATATACGTCTTTGTAAACTTGGAACTTTCCACTTTCGAGTAAGCAAGGAGAAAGAAGAAATAGAGCGTTATTAGGTGTTTTTATGATTAATTTCCACTTAAAAAAAAAGAAAGAAAACGTAGCAGCTCTACTAAAATTATTGTTTTTGCAACTGATTTTAAGGAGAAAAAGGCGGATCTGGCAATAAAAGGTAAGATCGATGAAGTTATGAAATTATTGATGGATGAAATGAAAATTGAAGTTCCCTTGCCAAAAGACAGCGTAGAAATCGTAAGTGAGTCATCGTTTCCGTTAGAAAAGTTCAAAAGACGACGAATATGTAAATAACTTTTGTTTTTTTATTGGTGATTTTTTTAAATGCTTTGGGATTCACTGGTTTGTACTTTCAATGTTTCTGGGGTTTTTTGCTCCCTCTTATTAGTCTGTTAAGTTGGAAGCGCTGTCGTAAGACCCGCTCTCACCATATGGTGTTTTTTTGTCAGTAGCTGTGTTGGAAGTCCATTGCATCCAAATGGCTACATTTGGGTCAGATTACTTAATGCTAGGGTCTTTCATATTTGTATTTCGTTCATTTATTTGTTTATTTGAGTGTTACCTACCGGGCTTCGACAGTACTGGGTTCTTCGTCAATGTT